GGCGAGTGACTCCGACCATAAACCGTCGCCCGAGTAGTTATCCCTGTACTTACAAAAAGCAGCAACACGCCGCATTCATCTACTATCCTCAGCACGTGGGCGCCGAAGCGCTTTGCCACTGTGAGCACTGTTCCCTGAAAGTGCTATTCCCGTAAGTCATGTCTACTCTCACCAGTAGATAGGGACAGTGGGAATCTCGTTAATCCATTCATGCGCGTCACTAATTAGATGACGAGGCATTTGGCTACTGTTAAGAGAGTCATAGTTACGACCGCACCGGGGGGTCTGGGGGGGCGGTTAGCCCCCCCAGAATCTTCCCGTGGTCGGAGTGCAATCAACGTCAGCAGTACTTCCCTTCGCGCTAGAATCGGAGCCGACACCGGGGATTTCCCCCTTACAGAGCCCATACCTGACGATTACGTACTCCCGGACAAGCCGACCCTTCAAACGTAGGGGTACGGTTTCCCGTAACGCACATATGACTCACTATTGTACCTGTGGTGTTCCCCAGATAGCAGGGTTAAATCCTGCAGCGAGCATGACCTACTCGGATTAGATCAGCTCCACTGACAGGACCGGGGTGCCAAGGCACCCCACTAACAGGTAATGCGCAACATAAGCTTCATAGCGCTGACCCACACTAGGCCCTCTATGCCGCTCACTCGGCTATGCGAAACCTCTGCCCCTACGAGTCCGACACCATCTGGTAGGGCACCGGTAGCCTCCCGGTGGGGCTCCCTACCCCCGTAGTACTCGTGTCGAGCGATCTTAGCTCACGTTTGACGAGTTGCCGCCGCTGGTGCCATGCCACCAGCTACCACGTAATCGCACGAGTCACCCCGTACTGTTAACGCGTCGCTCATCGGTTGCCCGGGGATCCGGGATTCGGCAGCAGTCGACGCGCCTTAGGAATATACGGCACGTGGTGCGCCATATACCCCGCTCGTATTGGGCACCTCCCACGCACGAGCACGCCGCGCTCGCCTCGCGAAACGCTACCCTGTTCAGTACTACCGGCTGCATCCGTTACCCAGCTACCTGGGATTGGGCAGCAGCCCAGCAGTTTTATGGGTAAAGGGCACAGGGTGCACCGTTTACCCGCGCTTGCTTGAATTTCTTCACGTTGACATTCAGAGCACTGGGCAGAAATCACATTGCGTCAACACCCGCGAGGGCCATCGCAAGCCTCACAGCATATATTCCACCCTCGTGTTATTAAATCGCTGAATACGCGACTCCGCGAGCACACCGTGTTCCTACACGGTTTACACGATTACTTCCATTGACGCGCGCCTCCCCGTAGTGTCCCGCAAAGCCGTAAAGGTTCCCGTAGCCACGGCTACGATCACGGCTATCTTCGCGACGGTGGCGGACTGGCGGTAGCGAGAGAGACCACGACGGCGACCTCGTCCGTGACGATGTCCGCGGTGGTGGTTGTGTGGTGCTGCTGCGTGCTGCGTGCTGCTGCTGCCCACCGCTGGTGGTGTTGGTGACGTCGGTGATGGTGTTAGTGGTGGCGGCGGCAGCGACGGTCGTCTCGCCTTTCCGCGTCTGGACCGGAAGTCCAGACGCCACCTCTGCTCGAGTCGTAGCTGATTATCGATTACATTTAAATGGATTAGATGACTCATGTGGGGTGTTGTGGAGACCTGGCATTCGTAAATACCGCTGTCCCGATGCTGCGGATACTTTATTTGGAGCGTCCAGTCGTCCGAATGAGCGTTGTGGATCGCTCGAAATCGCTGGTCGTTCGTGTACGTATAACGGCCAATTGTGAGCAAATGGACGTCCCTGTGCCGTACCCACGATACTTGTAGCGTCATCGTTTTGTTCCCCAAATTTTTGACACGGCAGTTGAGGTACGTGGTCTTTCCCAGCAGGGCGGTCACGTTCTTCAAGGCCGATTTGTCGAAATACGGCCCCGATCGTGTGGTCTCTTCCAGAGCGTTTTGGTTGTATGTGTCGCTGTTCTTGCCGCTGCCGCCGTATGGGATGTGGCAGTGCACTTGTAATCTTCATTTTTTACCGTGGGGCTTGTGATCGATGCCGGATTTATGCTTTCTTTTCCGTCTTCTTGGGCAGCAGAACGGCCTGGATGTTCGGCAGGACGCCACCCTGGGCAATGGTCACGCCGGACAACAGCTTGTTCAATTCCTCGTCGTTGCGGATGGCGAGTTGCAGATGACGGGGAATGATCCTAGTCTTCTTGTTGTCACGAGCGGCGTTACCGGCCAACTCCAATACTTCAGCGGCGAGATACTCCATCACTGCGGCCAAGTAGACCGGTGCACCGGCGCCAACGCGCTCGGCGTAATTTCCCTTCCTCAGCAGTCTGTGAATACGGCCCACGGGGAACTGCAGTCCCGCCCTGTTGGAACGAGACTTCGCCTTTCCCTTGACTTTGCCACCCTTTCCGCGTCCAGACATGTTGCTCAATTAGCGAATACGGGTTAACGGAGATCCTTCGTTCGTGAGAACCAAGAGGATTGTCAAACACCTCTAGCAGGGAGATAGGGTTTGGAACGCGAAGAGCACCGCAGTTGCGGCGGTGTCCGGATTCGGCGGGCGACTCTGAACTGGCACGGACTAGGGGAATCCGACTGTCTAATTAAAACAAAGCATTGCGATGGCCCTCGCGGGTGTTGACGCAATGTGATTTCTGCCCGGCGGGTGATGCATTAGAGGTGTGTTGCAAATAGAGATCAGGACCCTGTGGTTCGTCACTTCCACAGTATTTTATGACTCCAAACCTTCTCTCTATCTGCGTGTGTGTACGTACGGACAAATAATGGTGAATAAATGCGAAAAGAATGACAAAAAGAGAATGATAGCTGCTACAGTAACCTTAATAATCCTTGACAATATCAAAAGCTTGTATGACACGATGTGATTAATAAGACGCCACGACGCTTATTGAGAGAATCGCGAGTCGCGAAAAACAATTGCGTGGGAATCAATTGCATGATAATGCAGTTCGATGATGCAGAATCGATAGATAAGTTGTGACCGAACTCGCGGTCTAAAGTTAAGAGAAACTCACTTTGAGTTGAAATTATCGGTCGCCACTACGTTTAACGCACGAACGTAGAACGATTGTGAACCAACGATGCTTCGTCGATGGCCTTGTAACTTCCTTCCTTCCTATCATCAAGATGTACGACAATCACTCTTCGTAGCTATGTGCGATTTCGAGACTATTTCCACGGCTGTAGTCACGCACAATCACTCGGTCTGTAAAAGTTGATCAAGGATTAGGATGAGGAAAAGTTTCCGCAAAATAATTTCGATTTGTATCGATTTAATGAAAAACAATAGTATATTAATTTATTGTTTAAATAGCGAAATATAAATACGTGAACACTTCACGGGTGTTGCCCGGGTACAGTCTCTCGAACTTGTGATTAACGAAAATATATTCGGTTTACATATTCGTGAACGCGTACGATATAATACGGACTTCTCAACGGTATTCGCGAAACTTGTCTTTCTCATTCGCTTTACTCGGTTCTCGAATAACGAAAATATTTTAAGTATCACGCACTCGCGACGAAACACGTCCGTTCGCTACGAAGTTCCCGTGAGAAAAGACCTCGATCGTTCCCCGCGGCATCCCCACTTTGGGTTACCGCATGCGCAGTCGGCGCTTCAGTGAACACGCCCACCGCGTCGGGTGATCTCCCTCTCGCTCTATCATACAAGTGTCTCTCTTTTTCCGTTATTCTCGATGTCGTAAACAACTTTTTTCCTGGAACAGGAAATTTCCTGCGCGTCTCACGCAACATCATGAAAACTTTAGATTTATCGATTTTAATATTTTAAACAACGAGAATGACAATTGTATGATATGCGCGTCTTTATTTTCAGCTAAAAACACAAATATTAATGCAAATATATCTTTAAATGACGATCCTTAACAATATCACTTTACGCACCCGAATTACATAAAGTCTCTAATTATTTCAATGCGAAATACGTTGTTCAATCACAAATCACTTCATTTCATTACAATTCAACTCATTTTCATTTTAAACAACGCATTGCAAAACTCTATCTTTAACTTTCTTATTTATTCTCTCTTTATTTTCAAGTACGCTGTTTCCGCGCTGGATCATCATAATCATCATCAGGTGAGTATCGAATAATGATAATTATATAAAAGAAACAGGTAAGTATAAATCAACTCAAATTTCCCCTTTTCAGGTACTTTGATAATATACTGTTATCACGCAATAACCATTGTTGAAATAACGCCATGTAACGAGGAAAGTGATTGTATTTCCATTTCCTTCGCTAATTTCTACGTCAAATTCTCGGTAATCGAATCGAGGCACTGACCTACGATAATAAATATCCTGAAAAACGAACATTTTGCAAATCTCTTTTAAAATTATCGAATCTTATGTCAATCTAATGTATTTAAGGCAATTTAGTTCGCTTTACCGTTAAAACTGCGAAATTTACGAAATCTCGAATTTCAGATCAACTTTTTTATTAATGGCTCGATTCTCGTTCTGTAACGTTAAATGGCTTTATTTTGTGTCACTGAACACAACTATTTCGCAATATATCGATAAAACTTAGAATCACGCAAGTTACCTTTCAGGCGAACACGTCTACATACGACTATGTTATTTAATATAATATTTGACTGAAAAATCATATGGCACTCTTTGGTTTACTCATTTAAATAAGAATTCATCGTAATTATCGATGATTTATCCGAATTACGGATTTTAGCTATCTCGAGTGTCAATGAAGTTTTAAATCTTTGTTCGCTTGAAAACGCGGTTTTTCGCGATTGAATGTCGTTCACTGGACTGGTTTAAGTACATTTAAATCAAAATATCTCAAGAAAGTAACACAATCAAAGAAATAGCAAAGTATCACCTCGCTCGGCAAATTTCCGTATTAAGGCAAAATTTAACATAAAAAGTATCTGGGTTTGCTCAGTACATTGCCCAGAACACGAATCTTTCGTCGTTATAACGATCCGTCGCTTCGTTCAAAGTTTCGACTTTGAAATATGAAAATCTATACTACGGTTAAATCTCAAATAAAAACTATACGTATGGCTTATTTTAATCACAAGGAACAATTTAAGCCCTCGTAGAGCTCGATCGGTCAACAATTGTGGAAATTCGCTCATCCGCGCGTCTCGGCCTTAACCCTTTCACATCTAATTTTCGTAATTTGCCTCGGATCGCTTCGCGGATCGACTAGATCGACTCGTCTCTACTATTTAACGATACTTTCACTCTGACAATATAAAATTATCCATCGGATATCAAAATCACTAAATCTTAACCCTTTATGCCCGCACATGGAATGCGTGGCTTTTATCGCACTTAAACTATATGTTCGCGTTTAGTACGACAAATTGAATAATCTTTCACCGTTTTTAAGCGTCTCAAGCTCTTAATTCGTAATCTCACTCTTGTCATCACATAATTGATTCGATCATCACAGAACTTTGAAACTTATTTTATCATCGCGCAATCTGACTCTATTAAATGAATTTATATCGAATATACGAATAATTACGCTTTCCGTAATTTAAAACAGCAATTCGCGCACTCTTGCACATTCAATTGCGTTATTCGGTGTAACTCATAGTAAAATAAAATTACCATCGCGGCAAAGAACAGTATCGCCAATATTAATGCTATTTCACTCAAATTTTCCATGGCGAAAGTCTTATCTCTAATCTCGCATCGATATGAACACGCACGAGTATTTACATTGTAGGTTGTGATAGGAATCAGGTAAGTTTTTATTATTTAATAGATTAATCCTTAACGGACAAATTTCTCTTCGCGTTTTCAAGAATTATTCTACCTGCGTGCTGGACATGATCTCGTCGAGAATCGATGTCGTCTCTGCTTCCGGCAATTTTGTCAACGTTTCCGCCTCGCTCTGCGTCAATGGCTCGCTCACCGGGCTATTTGGACTCGGCGTGGATGGCCTGGTCACCGCTTCTGATTCATCCTCCGCTACCTGCTTTTGCTGCCCCTTGGTTCGGATCGGATCAGCTGTCTGGCTGACCTCTGCCACGCTCTGAGACTGGCTGGATTTCTTACTCGACATGACAGTCGTCAAGGATTGTTTTGCAGCCTGGTGTAACAATACAACCGGTTGCAAAGTCAGCTGTCATAACGCAATTATCGACACATTACATGAAAATCGCGTGATTCAAATCCCGATATCAAAACCATATTATTACGTAAATCTTTATCGATCTCCCAGTGTGCGCATGAGATGTATTTTACATTCCAGGAACTCGATTCTTGAATTCGTTCGCAAGAGAAACGTATGCGCAAATTCTGCTTTTACAGGATAGTGACAAGTTGATTGGCTATTGAATGACTTTTAGCCAATCAACTTGTAAGATTTCTATAAAAGCAAAATTTGCGCGTTTTTCTTGCGAATGAATTCAAGAGTCGAGCCCCAGGCTTCTTTTTTCTAGATCTCATATAGAAACAAATTCCAATAAAGAAAACCATGTATTACAAAAAAACAACATTAAAAATATAGTTTCAATTTATTAATATACTTTAAAATGTGTGCAACAATGAATAATATTAAACAAAAAATATTAATTGATTTAATACTTACAATATTAATCATGTAGAATGCAATTTACAATCCACGCGCTTTTTTATGTTTCAAAATTCAACTTTCCGATATAGTTGCAATGCGCATCGCGGAAGAAAATTATCAAGTAAGATGGTCGCGTTGAAGATGGTCATTTTTCAGGAAGAGAATTATTTGATAAGGTACTCTCTTATTTGAAAAGGTACAGTTTCGTGGGAAAGGTTTTAACCATTTGTAAAAGCGCTTCTCAAAAGATTTGCTCTTTACAGTGCTATTTTTGAATTGCTCAATTCTTTCTTGCACTGATTACAGCGATGAAAAACGTGACATTTGTTGGTGAGATGAAAGCATTTCCTAATTTTTCGGAATAACATATACATATATTAAAAAGTAACGAAAATAATTGTCGCAGCAAACATGCAGC